AAAAAAAAAAATCTCCTCGCCGCTCCGCCTGCCCCCGAGATGCTGTTGCTATCCCTGCTCGTTTTCCTGCCCATCCCGAGCTCGCGGTTTTAACCCTTCTGTTTTTGCGATCCTTCCCTTGTTTTAAACCCCGTTTAAACCCCAGACGCTCATCTGTAACTGTTCGGTTGTTTATCCCAATTTAATCTTCAATTTCCTTCATTAATATTTAGTATTACACAGCAGAAGGGAAGATTTACCTTTTTTTTCTGCAGATGAGCGCTTTATTTGGCTGGGGGATGTGCAAAACAGATGGACCGTGCACTAAACTATCTTTTTTGTTAAGCCAAGGACATACTCATTTGACTTCTTAAAGGCAGAGCGTGAATTCTGGGTATTACTTGCCAGGCGGCTCCAACAAGCCGCGTTGATCCAGGTATGAATTAGGCTAGTTACGCTTTATCTCCGTGGTATGGTCAATGCCCAAGCTGGGACCGAGTTTGTCCCGACGGGCTGTAATCCCATGGGTATTATTCAGCATGTTCATTGACGTTCTGAGCAAGGACAGAAAGGACAGACTGCAAACCGAAACATTTACAGGGCCCCTGTTTTAGGACCCTAATACCATCCACTACATGCTTGGTATTAGAAAGAAATTTCCCCCATCCACATATTAATATACGCACGTCTAGCAGAGTCCCTCGTTTCCTCTAAAGCTTTTGGTCCAACGACGGAGATTAGGGAGAGAGCTGAAACACCAGCGGTCTGATCAGGGACGGCACATTTTCGTGTTTTCCCTCCCGCTACCAACATTCTGTGAAAGTTTTGACCGGGTGTCACCTGGTTATCCTCGTAGCACCTGAAGCCACACTGGGCAATTCACCAAAATCATTCTGTAACTACCACCACCAAGAACATTTTCATCCCCTTCACAGATCAGAATAAAGTATATTCCGCCGTGCAATATGAAGAGCAACTTGTTGTAAGCAAATGTTTTGCATTTGAATTGGCATCTAAAAGTAAACAGAGAAACAAAAAGCATACTGAGCAAATCCTAGCCCATAAAGGCTTACGAAGGCAGGCCTAAACTATTTAGATATGTGTTTGTTTTTAGAGGCTATAGAATTCTTTGGAGGATATAATCTTTTAGCTATAAAAATGTTAATAAATACTTGGTTTAAAATGAATAAAAAGCTTGCTGTTCTCTCTTATGAAGTTTGCTAAGTGTAGTCACAAGAACAAATACCAAATATTTTGTTAAAACAAGTGAAAGCTGCATATGTCAAAATGTTCATCATCAGCGTTCTTGCATATTTCTTGCTTTTCTCTTGTTTAAAGTAGCATGACATTGTCAGAGCTAATACTAACCAAATAGTTAGACACGCATGGATGCAACGTATCTGTAAAGACTTTAATTCTCGTTTCTAAAATAATTTTTAGAACATGTGAAAATATATTTTAAAAATAATTAAAGGTATACTGAGGGTGTTAAAACTGGAAGTGTCAGTAACAATTTTAGTGTATTTTTTCTCATTTCTTACATACATGTTCAATTACAGACTTCCCGGTATTATGAAGCTTATGGGAATTGGCTAGTGATTCCAAACTCGACACGCTTGCTTAAAATGCTCTCTCTCTCTGCTTTAGCTCGAAGGAGTACGAGGAAGCTGCACAGTCGTACCTTACTAAATTCTAATGGAAAAAATACTCCCTTAAAAATCTTCACTACATTATTAAATGATCCAAAAATATTATAGGTGGGGCTAGCACAACTGCCAACTGTTATGATTGCCAGATACCTCCTATTATAAGACTGCATTTTCAGTTGCTTAAAAACTTTGCCAAACTTAAACTGTTTGGCTGAAAATGTCCCTCACCAGGTGTGTGTCTCAGGGATAACTTATTTGAAAATCTGCAGCCAAACAGCTTAGACTTTTCCAAGAACAAGCCTATCGAAGCATCAACTGTTTGGCCCACGCTGCCGAATTACAGAAACCTTTTCTTTGAGAAGCTCCTGCATCCCCGTGTTTGGAGCAGAGCTTAGGACGGGAGGTAGCCTGTTAAGGAAGATTTTGCCGCTTCATTCTAGTTGGGCTGTAAACAGTTGAGAACTTCAGATCACATACACTTGCTAGGGACTTGCTGAAGTTTAGTAGGAAAAATTCCCAAAGATCCCACCTTTGCTGAACATGCTGCTTCCTCTCACAGCAGTCCAGGTTGACGAGATGGCACATAAGCCCACCACATGCTCTACACCAGAACTATGTAATTCAGCCCTGTAATGGCTGAACTAGGCTCAATCGGAAGCACCGATCTGGGTGCCATGAAACAAGCGTCTTTAGCTCCTAATATGTCTCGTGCTTGCATCCAGGCAGCCTAGTGGAAGTTGTTTGATTTCAATATGGAAGAACTAAAGATATCAAACCAGAATAGAAGAAAAAGAAGGGAGAAGGACATCGGTAAACTGACAGAGCCCTGCAGAGAAAGGGAGGAAGGTTGGGTGCAGAAGGGGGGAGCAGACTCTCAATCTGAGCAGGGAAGCTAAAACTATTTGCAAAAAGAAACTGGACTTCTTGGCTGGGGAAGCAAATGGGAGCAGGTAGAAAAGAGACAGTGCTAAGAAGCCAGGACATTGTCAAGAGAAAAGAGGGAATCGCCAACAATTCTGTGTTGTTTCTCCATGGAGGTGCTTTAAATAGAGAATTATCTTCTTATTGCCATCAGTTGGCTCAAGTAGCAGGGCACTGTGGGATGGCTCAGAATATTCCACTCCTTCTAATGACTCATATGGATGTCAGTAGACTGCTGCAAGATAAAATCTCTGTTTATGCAATTTGCTTTTAAACCCCCCCTAACTTGCAAAAAATGACATGCACAAGCATGTGCATTCACACACACATACACATGCATACATGTGTTCAAACTGTATTAAAACAAGGGTTAATCCTGTTCAAACAGGATTAAAGGGTGCAGAATCAAACAGAAAAAATAGGAATAAAATCTACTGTGCAGCAACGCTTTCTGTATACAGCCCTTGTATGATACAATTCTCACTCACAGGCCTGTATTCCGTCTTTTCTCCTGGGTCCCAGCTTCATTTAATGGATGGCACAAAACAATGCCAGTATTAGCAGCTACTCAGTATTTTCTATTTGCCTCACCGAATAACGTGCAGCCCCATATCTTATTTACTGGATGCTTCTCAAACTACCCACTGGAGCCATACATTTCCATTTTTTAATGGAAAATCTCAAGAACAAATTACAAGGTTTTCCTGTGGCACTTCTTACCATTGTGGTCCTTGAATGCTTCTCAGAGAGCCACTAATTTGTCTTCACGAAAATCCCGTGAGCTGAAGGAGAGATACTACCCACATTTTAAAGAGTAAGAATTTGGGACAAGTATCCCATCCATTCTGGGTGCCCAAACTGAGAGATGAAGAACCTGGCTTTCCAAGTTACTCGGCTTTCAAGTACTGCATATATTGGCATTGTATGTTGAAAGCACCTCTCCCCTAGATTTCACTGGCAGTGGCAAATGCTTGCCATAGTTCACAACCAAATGAGAATATGAGGAACCAAAATTAACAGACTTATAATTTGAGCGTGTTAAAAAACTAAAGTAAAATACTTGACAATGTATTTCTGCCAAATACACACACATCCTTCTTTACAAGGCAGTTTTAAAGCGAGTAATACCACGTGCTAGGGGGTTACGTAATGTTTCCCATTATCCCAGTTTAATAAAAGTTGTTTTCTTAGCATTATAGTGTCAGAACACAATATAAAATAAAATCAGTTTAAAAAACTATTTTCTACCCTTTAATATCTTTGTTTTAAGTAAATATTAAGATTTGGGGGAGGTTTGACTCATAAGTTCTGAGCTGTCTAGTTGACAATACCAGTAATGCCTTAGGGGGAGGTGTAATGGGTTGCTGAGCCTTCCCTTTTTTGTGTTTGAGCGGAATACAGTACGCATGGGTTATGATTCACAGTTGCTGTAACTGATGACTGCTCAGTGGTCCGCCTGGACTGACTCAGGTGTTCTGAACTGAGGGCAAGTGCTCAACACTACCAAGTGACCATCAAAAATACGTGCCAGGCCAAAGCGCCATCAACTTCCCTAGTCATTTCTCACAAAAGGAAGACTGAAAGACCACAGAAAATGCACATTTCTTTTACACTACCAGAGGTGGGAGGATACGTGGTCAGGGCAGCAGGGGGAAGGTCATAGTGCTCTTACTGGAAAGTCTGTCAATATCAGAGTTTCTTGTTATTTTGGATGACTATTATTCTAGTAGCACTTTGTTCACTTTGTTCTGCATCTTCTGAATTTTCATCCTTGTTTCTTGAATATTTTAAGTGCTTTGAAGAGTGCCTAGAGCTGAAAATCATTACTCAGAGAAACCTGTATTAACATGAATTCCAACGTTAACTTTTACAGGCATCTTTGAGACACTCCAATTGCAGTACTGCTTTAACCTAGCTATGGAAGCAAAACTCTAAGTGGGATAAATCCAAAAATCACAGGAAACATGAGTTCTGAAGTTAAATGTGAGGGTATTTGAAAAGAAAATTGTTTTTCAAGGTGAATGATTTTGTAAGAACTCACTGTAAATATCTTTTTCATAGCAACAGGAAACCTGGAGCACCAAAAAGGCAGGCTGGGTCTCTGGAAGTATAAGCTTCTACATCATAGCATAATGATGCAAACAGCAAAGATCTTGAACTAAAGCATGGTCAGATGACAGTTTCCAACAGCAGATGCAGTATGCTTTAGTGAAGTAGCAAACCATTGCCTGAAGACATGCTAGACACAAATTACTCTCAAATTATGATGGTAATGGGCAAAATGTTGATAACGTGGTTTCCAATACAAGGACCAGCATCTTCTCAACGGAACAGTGATGACTGTTTGGGGTGAAATGTTCTTAGTACAGTGCTATAATCTGAAACCAACCTTGCTCAGGGCAAGCTTGACCAAGGCTGAAAAAATTATTCCAGGAGAGATAACAGTTCAAATAGTCCAAACAGAATTTGTAAAGGACTCAAGCATTATTTTGAAGGCAGTCTTCTGATCTGGAGAAATGCAAATTCAAGTTCTTCCCTACAAAATATTTTTCCATTCTTGCCTCATCTCAGGACTCCTATACAAAACTTCTCAAGAAATGCACTCATAAAAAACTATGCTAAAATCATATTCTGGAATCCTAGCAGTCATAGGTCAGAACAGCTGACCTACATGGAAGAAATGTCCCAAATCAACCCCAATTGTTGGCTAGTGTGTGAACATTTTCAATGAAAAAAACCCAAACAACCTAAACGTGAAAGCAGCTCTTTCATTTTCTTACAGAATGTTAGGTTACTTCTGATAAAACTTTCAATTTTTAAAAATCTGTTTCTTTGGAAAAGGTACAACTCACCTCCCTGTACTCTCATAATTAGGGAAAAATTAATCTGGTAAGTGATCTATTGAAGAAAAAGTAGGAAAACTAAGGGTTAAAGTTGCTATGTTTACAATGCACACTGTTAATTTTGAAAGGTGAAAAGGCAAGTGGAAAAAAAAGTGTGTAGGAGATGAGAAAGTACTGGAGCTTCCTTCTTAATGTGGTTCCCAACCACTCACTGCAGTTCATACTCTGAATAAAAGTCATATTATTCTTATCTAAACCATTTCGGAGCAGCATTCACATATTCTGGAACAAGACATACGCTCCTGGGAAGTAAGGCTGATACCTAAGTAGAAAACTAGTGGAAGAAGTGGCAAAAAAACCCAAACAGGCCTCTGTTCAATGAATGAAAAAAGTAAAAATCAACCAACCAGAAATTTAAACTGATCTAGTTAAGTGTTAACTTATTTCCTAGCTCTTGTTTCTTTTTCTCACAACATTCATTGTTATTGAAACATGGCTTTTTGTTTATGAATTTACTTCTAGCATAGGACTGCTTGACAAACAATGTTTATGCATTTTGTCATATGTCATTAGTTTCTTCCACATAACTATGCATGCTGAAACTAAAAGATACCTTCCACATTTTTTTAGTCCAAATAGATTAATTTTTGAATTATTTTAAAATAAAATAAATAATGAAAAATGGGGTGGAGTAGTGAAATCGATCTTAGTTCAGTTGCATTTTTAAGGTTATTCTGACATTTGAAAAAGTGGTCAAGCACATTCTGCCTGCTTGTTTTTACACACAGATACATCTGTCAGAAATTCATGCACAAGCTTGTATGGGACTCCTAGTATTGTGTGTGTTGTAAAATAAATCTGTATTGGTCTGCTCCCAATCTAAATATACTGTGACTAAAGTTCTCACATGCAGATATAAATCTAGCAAATCAAAATCTGTTTCCAGGAGCTGTAACTTACTGTATTTATATACAAAACCTAACAGGTGATGAAAAAAAAAAACATCAAAGATTACTTTAACTCTACCATAATGCACTTCTACTATTAGATCTTATTTTATTGAATGATTCATGCCTTATTGGCTTTTCTAGATTTGCTTTTATATTTCCACCTTGCTATTTTAAGAGGTATTATCTTTAATCCAAAAACTGCCATCCTACCTAAACCTACTTAGAATTTTCTATGATGAACTCTCATTGAATGTAGATTAGTGAGAATTATGGATCTTTCACGGTGCAGTCTGAGGGAACATACCAACCACAGCACAGCATAACCCAAAAATGTCTTACCCACCTTCAAATTTTATAATATCAAGATTTAAAGCTACAAAATATGAGGGATTTTTCTCTTCACTGAGCAAAAATAATAGAAGACACACTGATTTGTGTTCAGCTTGTACTTCGTAGCAGAAAGCCGCACAGCTTTCATATATTCATGTATTATTTGTACTATGGGCAGAACCTATGAAATGGTGTGTTGTTTCGGTAGAAAGATGCTAACAGGGATTCAAATCTCAGAGTGGAAGGGAGCTTAAAACAGGACAAAACTCATCTGGAACTTGACTGCTTTGTAGGAAATTCTCCTATTTAGAGCCACCACAGATGTTTTGCCTGAATCTATCTGCACATGCAGTTAGCAGAAAATGAACAGAAAATTGCAATTATTTGGGAAAGACCAGGGCAATTATTTAAAAAAGTAAGTTGAAGGTTTTATATCCAGTACTTTCTGTTCACTTAAGATACAACATCACTCCCCATTTAAAAACTCTAAGAAGTTATTTCCCTTGTCATTTAAAGGAAACTGGAGTATACTGTGCAGTTTAAAGTTATCAGAAATACTGAACATTTATATTGCAGTAGTGTACAAGGACTATAACTTTGGGCCTGACTGTTGAGTGCTGAGCAATGACAAAGACTTTGATTCTCAAGCCTTTAGGGCAATGGCCCTTTTTACAAAATAAACAAAAAAAAGCTATCTGACATATTTGTAATATACAATCTCAATTTTTAGTTGAAGAAGTAACATTTTAAGGATATTCCTCTGCAGTTCAGAGTAGTTAACAGCAGCTACAAACAATGAAGTATTAATTAAAAAAAACACTGTAACTTCAGCACCTTATTGTCTAAATTAAATGTTTTCCTTTTCTAAAATACATAATAGGTTACTCTGAAGTTCCCCCCCAAATTCTGACTGAGTTAGTGCATGATTATTTTTTAATGGAAAATCTCAATATGCCTTTTCTGTAATAAAAACGTTTAAAAGATAAAATTCTTTAAAAGTATGTTTTCTTACATTGGTAACTGCAGAAAATAAAAAAAAGAACAAGATACTTTAGTTTGGTGCTTGTATTTTGTATTCTCACACTCACCGTACTGAGTTCAGCATTTTTAAAATAGAAAAACTTAAGATTAAAAAAAATCCACATGTGTGAGGTTTGTTTACCAAAAAAAATCCAGTTATTGCTCAGTTATTCTTTATATGTGTAGATGGGGAGCAAGTTCATATTACTTTGAAACAATAGCTTTTGTTCTTGAGATATATTTTAGGGGCAGAAAAATACTAGTTGCTGCAGCACTATGAGTTCTTGATATATTGAACAGTAGAGGAAATAATCTCAGAAACTATGTAAACTGCTTCCAGCCTGAACTTAGCAGGCTGCTTTTTTGCCAGTATTTCAAAACATGTTTAGCTGAATAAGCATATTTTCGACATTACAACAGGGTGTAATCACTTTTTCATCTGATCTGCTCTTCATGTACGCTTTATTACAAAAAGCTGGAAAGTAACACATGGCGAAAAAACAGGCATAAAGAAAGTTAAAATAAAAAACGACTCTGAAACATTTTCCATTTCCCCCCAGCACCCTCCCCAGTAAAATGCATGAAAAAAACTCATGTAGATGATGAGCGTATGACTCACGTGGCAGTTCCATATAGCTTCCTCTCCTACTGTAAGCCTCACTGGGATTCTCTCTCTCACCGGTACTAGCTACCGCATGGTGTATGGATGTTGTTTAAGATGTTTTCTTTCACCTGAAGTGAGCTAAATGGCTTAGGCAGCACTTGAGAAATCGCTCCTTTCCCTCCGCCACAGCACTCCAGCGCCAGGGAGTGGGGGTGTGAAAGCTCAGGCTTCCCAGCAGAGAGAGAGGGGCTGGCACTGAGCTCTCCGTGAGGAGGCCTCCTGCCAAAACAGCCCAAGCGCTCAGCCAGAAGTAGCTAACCTTAGAGGACACCGCACGGACCATTTATCTGCTGAGGCTCAGAAGAATATTGAAGGTTGTGAAGGGGATACAAAGCAAATGTATGTCAGTATATAACTGTCACAGGACTACGGGTCTGATTCTCCTCTCCAGTCAAGGGCCTTACCCCTTAGGACTTGAAAGGACTCAGGATTTCACACAATGAAACACTTGTTCAGCTGCAAAGGGAAAGGCTAGTAAAATGACAAGGCCGAACTACAGAAAACGGCTTCCCCACTCTTCTCTTTCCGGACTTCAGAGGAGATCCCTTGCTTGGCTGGCGTAAACACCCGTAACTCAACTAGAATAAGATTGTTTCACATCAGCCTGGGACCTGGGCTGTGCACGGACAAGGTTGGAGGCAAACATCACTGTGAGGGCAGGTTGGAGGTAGTTCGGTTACCTTGCTGGAGAAAGACAGTGTCTGGGCTCGAGATGTCATTCAGTTTTCTGATATGGTGTGGAAGAGCAGAGCATGTGGTTCAGGAATGCAAGCTCGTACTTGTTTCTAAGTCATCTCTGGCTAATACCTAGAGTCAAGCTCTGTGATGAATATTTGAACACTTACACAGACTTTGTGCAAAAGAAGGGAAACTGCTTAATGAAAAAATGACTGTGTGTGCAAATTGTGGGTTAAACATTTTCAGATTGTGTCACTCTATAAACAAAAACCTGGCAAAGAGAGTGGTATGACAGACAGGACTGCAAGCGCAGTACATTATAGAGCTTTTCAACTTCTGGTCACTTTTTGGAAAAAATGGGTTTAGTTGGCATTAATTATCTGTTACCTGCTCTCCAGAATTTACTATCGATACTAACTAGCACTACAGGAGTACTTCAGATCCCTTCTTAATTTTAGGGCACTGATATGGTAGAGTATGCTCTGGAAAACTTACAGGAATATAGATATTAATGAGGAGACATTCAATGCAGGGAAAGGCTGGGAGCAAGAACAGTGGTTTGGGGATGTGTCATGGTTCATGTTCGGTCCCAGGATGCACTAACAGCTGCATGTGGGACTAGAACCCCGTCCCTGGGGAGTATGGGGTGGGGGTGAAAAGAGGAAGGAAAAACTGGATTGTCGTTGTGCATCAGGTCAAAGAAAGTAATCCATTCATTCTCAAAGTAGGACTCATGTAAAAGCTGTTCAACATAGATACTAAAAAGCACAATCATAATTTGCCGTGGCTTTACCACCTTTGTGTAGGAGCTGATGAGAAGGTGGGAGACCTCTATATCCTAGGTCAGGGATTTAAATGTATGGGTGTAGGGCAAACTGGAAAACTTGCCCATATATTATCAGTAATTATGTCTGTGAGATCAAGAACACGGTCACCCAGTGCTACCTACCTGCATGCTTGTTGAGCTACCCTCAACTTTGCAGACAGCTAGTCATCTTTCCTCGTTTTCTCAGAACATGTTTTAGTGCCAACGGACAGGATAGGGCAGGGGGGTGCAACTGCTGTTGCTCTAATGGAGCAATACCTGTCCAGTTGGGTTTATGTTTATATATAGATTCAATTTACTGTATTTGTCTGTGTTACTGCAGCTGTTTTGCATTTTTTCATGCTCACACTAGTAAATGCCAGAGACAACAGCCTGATTAATGATGATAAGACTGAATTAGGTTTGTGACTAAGGGCTGTGTGATCATACAGATTCAATCATTTTGCACGAGCAAAATGGGGAAGAAAAACTAAGGGGTAAACAAATGAAAATGCTGTCTTTAAAATAAGATCAGTAGTCCAGCAACACAATATGGAAATAAAGTAGTATCGCTGACTTCAGGGCTCCCTTTAATTCCAGAGCTTTATGTTGTGACTTAGTGTCATCTGTTGTTATTTCAACCTTAAGGTATCCAAATATTGGTAAATACAAATAAAATCGGGGAAGGAGGGAGAGCAGAGTTAAAAACTAATCAGAGTGCTCCCCCAAAATATGGAGCCTTTTCTTTACAAAATTTAAGTCAAAACTAATCATGAGACCATGACATATGGCACTTTCAGCACAGTTGGGCAAATAACGCCCTTTTACGTTGATTGTGTGAGGTCAGGTGATATCAATGTTGAGATTTGCAACCATCACTACAATAATTGAGTTTGCTTGGGATTATCAGGAGCAACTACGAATGTTTCATTTGAAAGAAAACTCATGCAACTCTATTATTTAGCTAATGGGAGGGGCTGTTGATCTATGAATGTTCACCTATTATTTAGAAAGGAAAATGCAGTAAAGTGTTTTCCTCCATATATCAGACTATTTCCTTATCTTTAAGGGCTGAATATAACCATTTATAAATGGACAAAAATAGCTTTTGAAAGATACTACAGTATTTCCAAGTTACAGAATGTCTCTGAAAAAATGCATTATGCCGTCAAACATAAATAAATAACACTATTTCACACGGGGAAGTTACGATGTTGAACCTGAAAACACCTCCATCTTCTGCCTATAAATATGCTATGTAGAAGACCTATCCTGAATCACCAGCTTTTCCCACCTCCTCGGGACCATTACAGCTCAGGAGGCCTTGCCTAAGAGTATCTTCAGCCAGAAGAACTAGACTGTCAGTATAAAATGCTTTACCCTGATAATAATGTTATACGATGTCTGCTCTGGAAAGGTCTGCTTTTCTCCTAAACCCCCTGGCTACTAATTAAGCTTTCCTCCCATCTCACTTTTTGGTCAATTGAGACTCACCCTCTTTGATCTACGATGCACCCAAAACTATGGAATTAAAGTAAACTTCTATGCTGGTCCTTCTGTTCAAATACTGTCACCCATTACATTAATGTGTGTTATGTCTTGTCTAGGTTACAACTTATCTACAGTGTCTATTTGCATAATTTTACAGCAGAAGAGTCCCTCCTGCGATGGCCTTAAACTCCACAAAACAATGAGTTCTGCAAGTCTCAGGTTTCTTTAACGTATTTGGAGGCTGAACCAGAGGTGATGCCTCTATAGTTGAGTCATTTTTTCCTCATTTTCCACCTGTCCTTTGCTAAGCAGAACGCACACATGCTGAAGGATGGCAACCTGCATGCCCAATTCACGTGGAGCTTTTGCAGAGCAGCCTGGTAGTGAAGTACCCATCAAGCATTCCCTCTGAAGAGGCTTAGTGGCTCCGAGTCCTCCCTGCCAGCTACTAGTTGGAAGGCAGAAATTAGCCAAGATACAGAAGTTTTAAGGCACATCAGAAGGCTAAAAGCATGGCGTTATAAATACAACTTTTCATTCAGGGGGTTGATCTACCAATTTTGAAGTGGCAAAGGATGCTTTATTGTGTGCATTGTCTATAAAATGACATACTAGAGCATCTTCTGCCTTTAGAAGGCTGCAAAGGCCAGTACACACCATTGACAGAGCCCAGCCCACTTCTGCAAAGATTACCTTTATAAATCCATAAAGATTTATAGTACAAACCTTTCCAATGCAGTTGTTGGTGATTTTGCCTGAACTCCAATATATTATTATATGCAAAGACAGTAGCCAGCAGCTATTCAGAAGCGCTCAGAGAATGTGTTAGCAGTTAGTAAGTGAATTCATTTTTCTGTTTTAAAATCCTTTCAAGAAATGAATAAACTACGATAACAATAGAATCTTTAACAATATTACTCAGACAAATGTTTGGACATCTGACATGCTAGAATGAAGTGTGATAGCATCTATCATCAGCCGATGCAGTGCAATTATACAGCATTTCCCTGCAATCAGGAACTGCGTCAGATTAAAATGCTGTGCTGTAGAGGCAGGCAAAGAACTTCCTTGCAGAAACAGAATCACACAGTCCTTACAGTTTTCCCCTACCGACACCAGGAATGCACAATAAACAGAGGAATTTCAGGTGTGTAGTTGGGGGGCGGCACCAGGCAACTGACCCTCACTGACTATATCAGTGGGAGTTACACCTGTGAAATAATCTTTCAGATACTTAAAACCACGGTATATTTAACTACAAGACATTTGTGGCATAACCAAATTTATGGAGGAGAGTCTCCTTAAGTGAGTCATGCAGTGCTGACAGAAATGCTGATACAAACTAACATAAAACCGTATCTTCCTAATATGCAGAAAGAAACCTTTTTAAAAGTTTTTTAAGAATCCATTAGAGCATTTGGCATTTTTACTGGGCACTACTTCAGTCTCTGCATTTTAAAACCAGTTACTTTAGTTACCAAAAGTTTTGCTGTGCAAAGATCAGAGCGCTAGAAAGTGTTAGACTCCCTAAAAATATTTTAGATGTTTCTTATGCAATGGAACGCTACAATTTTCCAATGTCTGATATCTCAAGACTTTTATGGGCTTGAAGTTGTAATTTGCAGTCAAGTGAGTGCCACTTGAGGAATAAAACTCCCTGTTTCTATTCCGCCAAATTATCGGACCCTAAAACTGTGCCACTGATCTGAGACTAAATACTGCAACTACTCTAATTCTTTATTTAGGTACCTTCTTTATTTAGGTAATAAAACATATTTGTGGTAGATGCTGATTTTTCTGTTAGATTTCTGCCCTTGTGAGGTAACAGAAAATTTTGCATATTAGAGAAAGTCATGAAAGAGCTAGATTAACAATAAAAATACATGAAAAGCAGTTTATTCAGTCAGTATCACCATACTGCTAGATAGGACAGTACACAATAAATCTGTAGCATGCATATAACACCAATATGTATACCTGGAAGCTTATATCATTTATACATCAAAAAATTACGTTCAGCAGAAAAGAGCTAACTACATTTGGTTCTGTTTTTTTTTGTTCATTTTCGCTTTGTTTAGAAATACACTTTTTTAGGTGAAGCATGATAAAATGCCTTTGAGAGTAAACTGTTTAGTTCAC